TCCCTATCCAACAAAAAAATAAAGGCTCCGTTCATTTCACAAATTCGAGTTTATAATTCGAGTTTTACTATAATACAAAGCTATTAAAAATAGTCACATCTAACTTTTTTATTACAGTAAAAAGTTTTTATATAAAGTCACATATCAACTCAAATTAAAAACTTAAATCAACGAATTAAACATGATAAAAATAAATATTAACGTTAAGCTTCCAACTGAAGTTACTTTATAGTTCGTCGGTTGTGAATAAAAATTAGCGTTTTCTCTCTATCACTCTCTTTAACATTTTTTATATTTTTCTATACTTAAATTTTACTATTTTATTTTTTATTTTTCTCTCTATCACTCATTTTTGGCATTTTTTATGATTTTTTATACGTAAATTTTACTAATTCATTTTTTATTAAAATAATAATATATTATTTTAATAAAATTTATATATCAAACAATCAATACACAAATGAGCGTTAGCCTTTCTAAAAAAATAATAGATATTAATTAAAAATAATAATAATCCTTCCATGGTCGTACTATACGTCTACTACCCATCCACACACTTGCTTTGTCTTTCTGCTTCTTCTTATTCTTCTTTTTTTTTTCTGTTTCTCATAAGCACCCACAAGTAACAGTACGGGTAGAAGGAGAAGAAGAAAAAGGAGAAGAAGAAGACGAAGAAGAAGAGGAAGAAGAATGTCCGACTATGCGTTTCTGAACGATCAGCTGTCGAGGCGGACCTCGATATTCGGATTACGATTGTGGGTCGTCCTCGGAATCTGCGTCGGAGCAGCCATAGTTCTCGTCCTCTTCCTCATATCCCTCTGGTTCACCTCCCGACGCAACGCCTCTTCTTCCACTTCCGCTTCCTCCTCTTCCAAAATCCACAAGTCCTCTCTCAACAACCCCACCATCCCCAACGTCTCCAAGGAGATCCAAGAAATCCGAATCGACCATTCTCGAAACCATCCAACATCCCACCCTCAACCCGAGAAACTCCATACCCAAACCTCCGACCCGTTTCTGGAGCCGGAGGACCAGAGTCCGGTCGCCGGAAGGAACAGAATCCACATCGAGATTGGGAAGGATCACCGGATTTCGTACCCGGAGAGAGGCGGTGGTGGTGGTGGGTCCTCCCATGGCAGCGGAGAGGCTCGGTCAGGAGACCAGGCTCTGTCTCTCGTTGCCGTGCCAGAGGTCTCGCATTTGGGTTGGGGCCATTGGTACACTCTCAGAGAGCTTGAGGTCTCCACTAATGGCTTCGCTGACGAGAATGTCATTGGCGAAGGTGGGTACGGAATTGTGTACCGTGGTGTTCTGGAGGATAACACTTTGGTTGCTGTCAAGAATTTGCTTAACAACAGGTAATAAATTAAATTAAATTATTTTCTGAGAATTTTAAGAATTGAGAAGGTTAATTAGTGATGGTGGTTTTGAGAATTTTTTAGGGGACAAGCTGAGAAGGAGTTCAAGGTTGAAGTTGAGGCGATTGGTCGTGTACGGCATAAGAATTTAGTGAGGCTGCTGGGTTATTGTGCTGAAGGAGCTCATCGGTAATTTTTTGCTGTTACTTTAGTCACATCCTTTTCTCGTGTCCATTTGATCGTTTGTGTTTTATGTACAATGTTGTGTTGATGATGCTTTTATTTTTATTTTTTTTAATCAAAATTCCCTTTTTGTAGAATGCTTGTTTATGAGTATGTCGACAATGGAAACTTGGAACAATGGCTTCATGGAGATGTTGGGCCTTGCAGCCCTCTTACATGGGAGATCCGGATGAATATAATTCTCGGGACGGCAAAAGGGTATTTGTTGAATCAACAATTTGAAGCTTTTTTTTCTTTATTTTTTATTTAATTTAATTTAGTCTTGCGTCTATCTATGTTGTTTTGCATAACTGGGTCTGAAACTTAACCAACGTTATCATGTAGGTTGACCTACTTGCATGAGGGACTTGAGCCCAAGGTTGTTCACCGCGATATTAAGTCGAGCAACATCTTACTTGACAAGCAGTGGAATCCTAAAGTATCTGACTTTGGCCTAGCAAAACTTTTGGGATCTGAGAGGAGTTATGTTACAACTCGTGTAATGGGAACCTTTGGGTGAGTTAACTTGAACCTCCATATTACTTTTTCACTTTATGTTTTGTCTTTCCTCCACTCAGGCCCAGAATTGTTAAATGGCAATTTGGGATTTTCTTTTGTAGATATGTAGCTCCAGAATATGCTAGCACTGGAATGTTGAATGAAAGAAGCGATGTATACAGCTTTGGAATTCTCCTTATGGAGATAATTACTGGAAGAAACCCGGTGGACTATAGCCGACCTGCAGGCGAGGTGTGGTTTTATGAACTGATGCTATTTGCTGACAATGTCTTGCTAACAAGCAATTCAGTGTAGTTTGTTAACAAATTTGTTTTGGTTTTATTTCTCTTATATATTGATCGGTGAATCAAATTGTCAGGTCAATCTAGTCGAGTGGCTTAAGACAATGGTCACAAATCGAAATGCTGAGGGAGTCGTTGATCCTAGATTGCAGGAGAAGCCTTCTTCTAGAGCGCTGAAGCGTGCTCTTCTAGTGGCTTTACGCTGCGTGGACCCTAATGCACAGAAGAGGCCGAAAATGGGGCATGTGATACATATGCTTGAAGCCGATGAATTCCCTTTCCGAGATGTGAGTACTCATTGATTGTCTCCCTTAATTACGGTCACCGACCTTATTTCTGCTATATGTTGCATGTCAAAAGTTAAAAATTTGCGTCTACCTTGTTTGTCCATTTCTTTTGTAGACTTGCAACTTGAAACGTTTAATTCATGAAAAAAAAAAAAAATCCTACATGATCAGGGAATGACATGTTCATCTTCATAGTCTAAAAGGAAGTTGGGATACTTATATTGATGTCTTTACTGGATTTTTTTTTTTTTTAATAAAGCAGTCACCTTTGAAACTTGAGTGGGTTAGCACGTGTTGCTACAAATGCATTCAGTTTATGTTGTTTTTTCCTCTTTGGATACCCACGTTTAGAAAGGTAGCAAATGTTAGCAATACAATATCTTATGAATTCTTTTGGCTTAGTCTTTACAAGACAAGGTACTCATGTTGCCATAAAAGAAGAAAAAAAGGTCTAGGTTCTAGGATCCTTCAGAAACCTTTTTGACTGCCTGCTGAGGCAAAAACTATCTCAAAGTAAATCTGAAAAGCAGAACCACATTTTTCTTATAGATCTGTTACCTAACTTGAAAAGCAGATTAAAAAAAAAATGTACTGAGAAATGTATGCTATGTTCAAATACCGGTCTAAATCTTCCTCTCTCATGAAGGGAAATTTTTGCAAATAATTTCAGGATCGCAGAGCCGGACGGGAACAAGGACGGGTGCTGCGGAATGGTACGATGGTGGAGAAGCATGTTAATGAATCAGGAGATAGTAGTGGATATGAAAGTAGCGTCCAATCTAAGACAGCATTATGGAGAAAACCCCTGGCTGAAGAAGAGCATTAGGCTTTTGATACGCCTGATTTTGCATATTGGCTTCTTTTGGAAGATGGCTGTTGCAAATGGTTCTTTCTGTAAATTTGATGTATGTTCACAGTGAATTTGCATTTTTTTTTCACATCTTACGTCGCATTTTGTTTCACTGTCGGTATGTAATTAAGTATTGGATGGATTATTCTTTTTTTGCCCCATCATGGACCGACTAGATTTTGAAGATGAAATAGATTATTTTCATTTCATTAATGTCTTATTTTCATTTCATTAATGACTATTTCTTTTCAAAATAGAAATGACTAAATAATGTCTAAAATGTGTTCATGAACTTGTTGAAATTAATGCTATACATACCCATTCTACTCATCCCAAATGCATTGTGACGCTACGAATGATGATGTTTTCCTTTTTTCTTTCTTTTTTCCTCCTCCCTTATATGCTATAAATTCTTAATTATTAAAAAGATTGAGTTTGCACCATTGAGTCTCATTCATAGGTTGACCAGTCTCATATTTCTATTTAAATTACGGCTTCTTCCGGTATACACTTCCTTTATTAACTGGTTTGCGCAGTGTTGTGACCACATGACCTTAATTAGTAGTGGGTAATTATCCAATCTAACTAGATAACCAACAAGGCCAATTTAATCCAATCTGATGTGGATTGGATATCCCACCTGCATTAGATTGGACTTTAATATTCAACATCCAATTAGGTTGGTTTGCTCTCAGTTTTTTATTGGGAATTCTAATCAAACATGATATGAGAATTACATGATGCTTCATTTCTATTACAATGTGGCTATTTGTAATTTTAGATGCATATAATATAAGGTATTTAAGACGGGTTCTTAGAATTTTGGTTTTTTTTTGTTTTTTTTTTTTTTTTTTTTTTGTTTTGTTGTTTTGTAGTTTGATTTACTATTTTTTTTTATATAATAATTTTCATATTTAATTGTTTGGAGTGAATTATATATTTCAGTTGCAAATTTTAGCGGACTGGGTTTTAATATAACTTGTTGAAATTTGATTCAAACACGCCAAACAAAAGGATTGGTAAATTTTGGAAATTCATATGGTGTTAGATTGGATTAGTTGTGATGCATTCATTGAATGCCGACCGATACTCACCCGTGATCTCAATGTCAAGAGGAAAAATGTCTTCTTACAAAAGTGTAGACCGTCTTATTGCTTCTGTCTCCATTACAGAACTAGACAAATTTTTTTTACGTTTAGTTTTACTTCTTCTAGTGAAAATCTGATTGTTTTTTTCTCTTCACCAACAAAGAACCAAATCTACAAGTAAGATTCTGTCCCTAAGAACCGAGGAAAAGAGCAGGTCAAATATCTATTGTTTCATCATACAGTCATTTTAGTATTATATTGCCCATAACGAAGTATCACGTTCATTGAAAAAGAGAGTTTCTCTAGTATATTTAAGAAAAATGAATTCTACTTTTTTAATTATCATATATGTATTAAAAATTGTCTATTTTATATATTTTTTAAATCTAATATAATTTTTATCAAATTTAATGACAAAAAATTAACACTTACCAATAAAAAGACCAACCAAATAAAGTTTCACTACAATATTAGATAGGCAACTTTTCGTGCAAGTTAGGTAGGATGCTTAGAAAAACTAGAGTGTAAACAAACTTGGGTGGGTCTTACAATTTATCGGGGAAAAAATCTTGGTCCTACAACTTATAATTTTCTTTAAAAAAAAAAAAAAAAAAGGGGCCCTAAAACCCATCGGGGAAAAAAAAAAAAAAAAAAAAAAAAAAACAGTCAGGTCCTACAATTCACAATAACAATGTTTGGGTTCCACCTTGGGAGTTAAAGGTGTGGGGGGCTTGCTCAAGACAGAAGAATCCCTGACAGCAAGGAATGATAAAAGGCCTCGTATATTTGGACCCTTGCAATTATTTCTTTTCTATTTTGGTTTTAATCTAAAAGTTATCCGGGGATTTCCCAAATTTCTTGTTCCCTCTTTCGGTATTTTGGGCTTTGTTAAGCTTGCGATCACATCGTTAATTGTCTTATTTGCAATTGGGCAAAAAAGAAAAAGGAAAAAAGGTCTAGTTCCGATACTGATGGCTTTACATTTTGTGGCCGTCGCATTTCTCGTAGTGAAAACCAAATTTCTCTAGCACTCTCTCTCCCGCGTCTCTTTTAAGTCAACTAGTTGTGAGGACGCGCTCGGTGCGTGCATTTTTTTTACTTTCTTTAGACAAATTTCACGGTTGCCTTTTAAATTATAGGCTGTTCATTAAATTTTAATTTTAATTTTTTTCTCTTGAACTTCAGTTATTCTTATAAATTTTTGATAGAAAACATTATGTAAAATGCAAAATTAATAAAAGAACTTCCTATGTTAAGATTGTAAACATAAATAGCACGTTTTATATAAATAATGAGGGTTATTTGAATAACTTAATAAATAATTATTCTGTTAGTTCATTCTCATGCAATCACATAACAGTGTAATTACATAATAAAAATTATTTTTTTTAATTTATTTAACTTTCTCCTTAATTTGTTTGACCTTGAAATCTTTTGAGGTTCACAAATGCGGCCGACAACAATAATAAAAGTAAAAATCTACTAAACAAGGATGTTTTACCAGAGTTATTGCAATGAAAAACAAAAAGTTAAAATTAAAGTTGGGGCATTTTGTGACGATGCCTATAATTCGGGAGGTAATCATATAATTTATCTTTTTTTATATGAACATCTAAATTTTTTTATAACATTTAGTTGTACTTATTTATTACTTTTCTAATAGTTGAGATTAGTAATAAATGAAAAAAAAGTTTAGGATAGCACATTTAAGAGGAAACAATAAAACAATAAGATTGTAAAATATTTATTAGGTACATATAAAAATGTATTTGAGAAGGTTGTATGAGAAAAATGTTTAGGTAGAGCTACACACGATAAAAAATCATTGGAGCAGAGTAATTAGGGAGAAAAATTACGGGCGTTACTTTAAAAAAAAATGACTAAGAAAAAATGTTTCCGTGCATATTAGAGAAATTTATTTTAACAAGAGTATATTGGGAAAAAAATGTTTAATAAGATTCATTTGAAAAGTTACAAAAAGAAAAAATAGTAGAAAGTGAGAAGGCAAAATATGAAGGATCAAAAGATGTCAAAAGACTAAAGGCAAAAAACATGCAAAAATAAGGAGATCCGTTGAAAAACAAATTGTTGTTGCATATGATGAAGATTTATTTATTTTGGTACGTGTTTAACGCCCAAACGTGTTATACATAACAGTTAATTGTATTACAGAAGGGCGGTCGTATTTACAAAGATGTGACAAAAATAAACAAGAAAAGATTAGTAGAAAAAGAACGTTAGAGGAAAATAAATAACAAAAAAATTAAAGAAGAAGGAAAGTGTTGCAAATAAACTAAAAGGAGAGAAAATTTGTGTGAAGAAAATTCAATAGTAGAAACGGTAAGGCGTCGAGAATCCCATATGTCTCGTTTACTGATTCGAGTTTTGATTCACAAATAAAAGTTTTCGAGTAAATTAAGTCCTTATGTTAATTTTCCAAAACTATTAGTATAAGTTATCCAAAATCAGCAATATATCAAATTGACAATATTACAGTAAAAGACAACTCGCAAAATAATTTAAACAACAAAATAATGCGTGACAAAGATTATATAACAAAAGCCTAATTGAACTTATATAAAACTAGCACACAATATTTTGAAATAAATAAAAGAGAATATGGGATTTAATTCACTTGAATTTAAGAACATTACAGTACAAAGGAATCCAAATTCAAATTGAGTCACCTAATACAAGTTCATCCATGATTGTATCAAAAAAACTCTAGCCTAGCTCGCATAACATTTTTACAACTTTTAGAATGAAAATATGAGAATAATAACAAGACCCAAAATAAGACATATAAAAAATGAATATAAAGCTTAGACTAACCTCTCTATTTATAGTATTAAGAGATTGCTTAATAATAAAGAAAATAAAACTACCAAATGGAAAAATTACAAGGAAATGAAAACAAAATAAAATCACACTAAAATTAGAGAAATCAAATATTTGATTGAGAAGGGCATCAGTTGATTGCCCGGTACAGCCCCGGGGCTGCCTCGGGCACCCCCGGGACTGCCCCGAGGCCCCCCCCGGACAACCTGGGGGGGCCCCGGGGCTGTCCCGGGCGTGCCCCGGGCTATCCCGGGGCTGTCCCGGGCGTGCCCCGGGCTATCCCGGGGCTGTCCCGGGCGTGCCCCGGGCTATCCCGGGGCTGTCCCGGGCGTGCCCCGGGCTATCCCGGGGCTGTCCCGGGCGTGCCCCGGGCTATCCCGGGGCTGTCCCGGGCGTGCCCCGGGCTATCCCGGGGCTGTCCCGGGCGTGCCCCGGGCTATCCCGGGGCTGTCCCGGGCGTGCCCCGGGCTATCCCGGGGCTGTCCCGGGCGTGCCCCGGGCTATCCCGGGGCTGTCCCGGGCGTGCCCCGGGCTATCCCGGGGCTGTCCCGGGCGTGCCCCGGGCTATCCCGGGGCTGTCCCGGGCGTGCCCCGGGCTATCCCGGGGCTGTCCCGGGCGTGCCCCGGGCTATCCCGGGGCTGTCCCGGGCGTGCCCCGGGCTATCCCGGGGCTGTCCCGGGCGTGCCCCGGGCTATCCCGGGGCTGTCCCGGGCGTGCCCCGGGCTATCCCGGGGCTGTCCCGGGCGTGCCCCGGGCTATCCCGGGGCTGTCCCGGGCGTGCCCCGGGCTATCCCGGGGCTGTCCCGGGCGTGCCCCGGGCTATCCCGGGGCTGTCCCGGGCGTGCCCCGGGCTATCCCGGGGCTGTCCCGGGCGTGCCCCGGGCTATCCCGGGGCTGTCCCGGGCGTGCCCCGGGCTATCCCGGGGCTGTCCCGGGCGTGCCCCGGGCTATCCCGGGGCTGTCCCGGGCGTGCCCCGGGCTATCCCGGGGCTGTCCCGGGCGTGCCCCGGGCTATCCCGGGGCTGTCCCGGGCGTGCCCCGGGCTATCCCGGGGCTGTCCCGGGCGTGCCCCGGGCTATCCCGGGGCTGTCCCGGGCGTGCCCCGGGCTATCCCGGGGCTGTCCCGGGCGTGCCCCGGGCTATCCCGGGGCTGTCCCGGGCGTGCCCCGGGCTATCCCGGGGCTGTCCCGGGCGTGCCCCGGGCTATCCCGGGGCTGTCCCGGGCGTGCCCCGGGCTATCCCGGGGCTGTCCCGGGC